GTTTATTGTGCGACGAGCAGTATGGGTTTCAATTATCCCGATCCACTGCTGACGTCCTATCATTACTAACAGAACTAGTCTCCCTTCACGGCAAATACATCGAAAGGACCATAGCATTAAATATCACGAAGACCTTCAAAAATTGTGGCACAAAGGTTTGCTACACAACCTCTCCAGCTATGGAATCACTGGAAAGGTTTTCTCTATTATAAAATGCTTCTTAACAGATAGATCCCTGAAGGTAATTATTAACGGCCAGTCCTCACAGGCCCTGGCGGTCAACGCAGGCATCCCCAGGGTTCACTTCTTGCGCTAATCTTCTTACGATTACCTAAGAATATACTCTGGTAATTTGTAAACGCCTATGCCGATGATGCGACAATATACGCACCACTAAAACTCTTGACGATTAGATATTGGCAACTGATCTCTCTTCTGATCTAACACTAACTTCCCAGCAAGGAAAGACTAACTGGTCCACTGCGTGTATAACTGGTTACATTCTATAACCGGATATCAGACCCCGAACTACTACCTATCACGATGATCGGATGTCCACGTCCCCCGATGAGGACCCGTGCTTTGTGAGGATATTAGGCCTCATACTCACACCCGACTTCAAGTGGACTTCCTATATATGCCCCACCGTTAAAGATGCGGGTAAAATGATTGGCTTCCTGTAGCGCTCCAGTAAATACTGAATCTTCATGCTATTCTCTAACTTTATAAGAGCCAGATCAGGCAGAAAATGGAGTACTGTTGCCATACTTGGCGGAAGTTAACCAGACCTCACTTTTCAGTCTTGATAGAGATTAAAAGCGTCTCTCCGAGTCCTGGTTGGAGAAAAATTATTCTCCACCCTCCAACCTCTCTCTCTCTCACAGGCTGGATGTGGCGAGTCTCTCACTGCTCTATCACTACTACCATAGAAATTGTCCAGACCAACTGCATTTCCTGGTTCCACCAGGACTGACCTTCACGGCTAGGATCCGCCATTATACTTACATTGTTTCAAATCAGCCACATTCCCTCCGTATTCCATTGGCGAGAAGTAAGTTCCACTCAAACAGCTTCTTCCAAGGAACAGACTCCCAAGAAGATGATTCCCCGATCATTACAACTTTAACCTGTTCACGTCTAGAGTCAACCGTTATCTTCCCCTCCTATCTATATAAACTACCCCTTAATATAGCACTCTACATCAAGTGGGCCCCACGCCTTGTACAAGGTGTACCTTACTGTGAAAAAAGTAAAACAAAAAATAAATTCTTTACAGACGTAGGCCATCTCTTCATCTTGAGAAGGTAAGAAAAGGTAAAAAGAAAGAAAGAAAGAAAAAAATTGGGAGAAAGAAAGAAAGAAATTGGAAGAATGTAAAAAGAGAGAAAGAACGAGAAGGTAGAAAAGAAAGAAAGAAAGAAAGAAAGAAAGAAAGAAAGAAAAAAGAAAGAAAGAAATTGAAGAATGTAAAAAAGAGAGAAAGAACGAGAAGGTAAAAAGAAAAGAAAGAAAAGAAAGAAAGAAAGAAATTGGAAGAAAAAAAGAGAAAAAGAACGAGAAGGTAGGAAAAAGAAAGAAAAGAAATAAAGAAAGAAATTGGAAGAATGTAAAAGAGAAAGAACGAGAAGGTAGAAAAGAAAGAAAAGAAAGAAAGAAAGAAAGAAAGAAAGAAAGAAAAGAAATTGGAAGAATGTAAAAAGAGAAAAGAACGAGAAGGTAGAAAAGAAAGAAAGAAAGAAAGAAAGAAATTGGAAGAATGTAAAAAGAGAAAGAACGAGAAGGTAAAAAGAAAGAAAGAAATAAAGAAAGAAATTAAGAATGTAAAAAGAGAAAAGAAAAGAAAAGAAAGAAAGAAATAAAGAAAAAAGAAAGAAAGAAAGAAAAGAAAGAAAGAAAGAAAGAAATTGAAGAATGTAAAAAGAGAGAAAGAACGAGAAGGTAGAAAAGAAAGAAAGAAAGAAAGAAAAGAAAGAAAGAAAGAAAGAAAGAAAGAAATTGAAAGAAAAAAAGAGAAAGAAATTGAAAAAAAAGAAAGAAAGAAAAAAGAAAGAAAGAAAGAAATTGGAAGAAATGAGAAAAGAACGAGAAGGTAGAAAAGAAAGAAAGAAAGAAAGAAAGAAAGAAAGAAAGAAAGAAAGAAATTGGAAGAAAAGAAAAAAGAGAAAGAAAAGGTAGAAAAGAAAGAAAGAAAGAAAGAAAGAAAAGAAATTGAAGAATGTAAAAAGAGAAAGAAAGAAGGTAGAAAAGAAAGAAAGAAAGAAAGAAAGAAAGAAAGAAAAGAAAGAAAGAAATTGGAAGAATGTAAAAAGAGAAAGAAAGAAAGGTAGAAAAGAAAGAAAGAAAAGAAAGAAAGAAAGAAAGAAATTGGAAGAATGTAAAAAGAGAGAAAGAACGAGAAGGTAGAAAGAAAGAAAGAAAAAGAAAGAAAGAAAGAAAGAAAGAAAGAAAGAAAGAAAGAAATTGGAAGAATGTAAAAAGAGAAAAGAACGAGAAGGTAAAAAGAAAAAAGAAAGAAAGAAAGAAAAGAAAGAAAGAAAGAAAGAAATTGAATGTAAAAAGAGAAAAGAACGAGAAGGTAAAAAAGAAAGAAAGAAAGAAAGAAAGAAATTGGAAGAATGTAAAAAGAGAGAAAGAAAGAAGGTAAAAAGAAAGAAAGAAAGAAAGAAAGAAAGAAAGAAAGAAAGAAAGAAAGAAAGAAAGAAATTGGTAAAAAGAGAGAAAGAAAGGTAGAAAAGAAAGAAAAGAAAGAAAGAAATTGGAAGAATGTAAAAAGAGAGAAAGAACGAGAAGGTAGAAAAGAAAGAAAGAAAGAAAGAAAGAAAGAAAGAAAGAAAGAAAGAAAGAAAGAAATTGAAGAATGAAAAGAGAGAAAGAACGAGAAGGTAGAAAAGAAAGAAAGAAAGAAAAAAAGAAAGAAAGAAAGAAAGAAAGAAAGAAAGAAATTGAAGAATGTAAAAAGAGAGAAAGAACGAGAAGGTAGAAAAGAAAGAAAGAAAGAAAGAAAGAAAGAAATTGGAAGAATGAAAGAAAAAGAAAGAAAGAAATAAAGAAAGAAATTGGAAGAATGTAAAAAGAGAGAAAAGAACGAGAAGGTAGAAAAGAAAGAAAGAAAGAAAGAAAGAAAGAAAGAAAGAAAGAAAAAAGAAAGAAATTGGAAGAATGTAAAAGAGAGAAAGAACGAGAAGGTAGAAAAGAAAGAAAGAAAGAAAAAAGAAAGAAAGAAAAGAAAGAAAGAAAGAAAGAAAGAAAAAAGAAAGAAATTGGAAGAATGTAAAAAGAGAGAAAGAACGAGAAGGTAGAAAAGAAAAGAAAGAAAGAAAAGAAAAGAAAGAAAGAAAGAAATTGGAAGAATGTAAAAAGAAAAAGAACGAGAAGGTAGAAAAAAAAGAAAGAAAGAAAAGAAAAAGAAAGAAAGAAAGAAAGAAAGAAAGAAATTGGAAGAATGTAAAAAGAGAGAAAGAACGAGAAGGTAGAAAAGAAAGAAAGAAAGAAAGAAAGAAAGAAATTGGAAGAATGTAAAAAGAGAGAAAGAACGAGAAGGTAGAAAAGAAAGAAAGAAAGAAAGAAAGAAAGAAAGAAAAAATTGGAAGAATGTAAAAAGAGAGAAAGAACGAGAAGGTAGAAAAGAAAGAAAGAAAGAAAGAAAGAAAGAAAGAAAGAAAGAAAGAAAGAAAGAAAGAAATTGGAAGAATGTAAAAAGAGAGAAAGAACGAGAAGGTAGAAAAGAAAGAAAGAAAGAAAGAAAGAAAGAAATTGAAGAATGTAAAAAGAGAAAGAAAGAAGGTAGAAAAGAAAGAAAGAAATAAAGAAAGAAATTGGAAGAATGTAAAAGAGAGAAAGAACGAAGAAGAAAAGAAAGAAAGAAAGAAAGAAAAAGAAAGAAAGAAAGAAAGAAAGAAAAGAAAAAAGAAATTGGAAGAATGTAAAAAGAGAGAAAGAACGAGAAGGTAGAAAAGAAAGAAAGAAAGAAAGAAAGAAATTGGAAGAATGTAAAAAGAGAGAAAGAACGAGAAGGTAGAAAAGAAAGAAAGAAATAAAGAAAGAAATTGGAAAAAAAAAGAGAGAAAGAAAGAAGGTAGAAAAGAAAGAAAGAAATAAAGAAAGAAATTGGAAGAATGTAAAAAGAGAGAAAGAACGAGAAGGTAGAAAAGAAAGAAAGAAAGAAAGAAAGAAAGAAAGAAAGAAATTGGAAGAATGTAAAAAGAGAGAAAGAACGAGAAGGTAGAAAAGAAAGAAAGAAATAAAGAAAGAAATTGAAGAATGTAAAAAGAGAGAAAGAACGAGAAGGTAGAAAAGAAAGAAAGAAAGAAAGAAAGGAAGAATGTAAAAAGAGAAAAGAACGAGAAGGTAGAAAAGAAAGAAAGAAAGAAAGAAAGAAATTGAAGAATGTAAAAAGAAAGAACGAGAAAAGAAAAGAAAGAAAGAAAAAAGAAAGAAATTGGAAGAAAGAGAAAAGAAAGAAAAAGAAAGAAAGAAAGAAAGAAAGAAAGAAAGAAAGAAAGAAATTGGAAGAATGTAAAAAGAGAGAAAGAACGAGAAGGTAGAAAAGAAAGAAAGAAAGAAAGAAAGAAAGAAAGAAAGAAAGAAAGAAATTGGAAGAATGTAAAAAGAGAGAAAGAACGAGAAGGTAGAAAAGAAAGAAAGAAAGAAAGAAAGAAAGAAAAGAAAGAAAAAAAGAAAGAAATTGAAGAATGAAAAAGAGAAAAGAACGAGAAGGTAGAAAAGAAAGAAAGAAAGAAAGAAAGAAAGAAAGAAAGAAAGAAAGAAAGAAATTGGAAGAATGTAAAAAGAGAGAAAGAACGAGAAGGTAGAAAAGAAAGAAAGAAAGAAAGAAAGAAATTGGAAGAATGTAAAAAGAGAGAAAGAACGAGAAGGTAGAAAAGAAAGAAAGAAAGAAAGAAAGAAAGAAAGAAATTGGAAGAATGTAAAAAGTGAGAAAGAACAAGAAGAAGGTAGAAAGAAAAAAAGTTGAAGAAAGTAAGAAAGAAAAAATAGACCATAGCTTATTTGTCATTTTTTCTTAATAGATTAGTGTAGTCAATTTCGGCTAAGTATGCTTTTTTTTCCTTTCTTCCTTCAAAGACTGATGCCAGCAGAAATATTTCTGCAACTATTGATGGCCGCCATTGCAGTACATTTATCAAACGCTACTTTGACACCGGACGCTGGCTTTTCCTTAAATGCTTGCACCAGAAAAAGATTCATATTGATTGACCAAGATTAAAACGGGATTGATTTTACCCATCTCTCCTTTTTGTTCGGTGATCTATTATCGCTCGATAATATATAATCCACCAGTTTCTCCTATGTTCATTACCCAGCCATCATTTTGGAGAGTCTCTCAGCTCCAGTAGAAACCAGGAGAAACGGCCTTCAGCCGGATGTTTTATTTCGACGTCAGTTTTCATATCTTTGCTCTTTAATATATCCCGTTACGACAGATTCAGTACATGATTTAGTGCAGCGAATTGCTCTGCCAAGATATAAAGCGAAAACGCAATATTCACTGTCTGCTCAAGCAGTTTGTACTTCTAATAAAGTTAGACGATTCAAAGATATATATATATATATATATATATATATATATATATATATATATATATATATATATATATATATATATTTGTTTGAATAAAAGACAGACCACGTTAAGATTCCATGTAATAAGCTATTTCACCATAACCCCTTTAACAGGGTTGTAGCCCTTATCGCCCACCCCTTAACCACCTTTATCTAGAGACGAGACGCGTTAGATTTGAGCAACATCCAGCCGACACACTGGGGTTAAAATAGGAAACTAAAATGATACATATGACACACTCATATCCTCTCTCCCACCTCACTTCCTCACTTCGTTAACTTTACGTATACTTGATGAGGTCCGTAAAAACGTGAATTTTTTTTTTCATTTTTCATTTCAGCTTTTGGAAGTAAAGTCTGATGATCCAGAACCCTGTAAAAGGGTTATGGTGAAATAGCTTATTACATGGAATCTTAACGTGGTCTGTCTTTTATTCAAACATATATGCTCTGAATTTTACATTGAGCTTCTCTGATATCATCCTCCTCAGGTCTACCCATACGGATTACCTAAATTTGAATAAACTATATATATATATATATATATATATATATATATATATATATATATATATATGTTGATAATATTAGTGGTCAATATATACACTCTCACTGAAATTTTGTTTTTATAGCCAGAGTTATATTTTCTGTTTACTTTTTGAATTTGTAGGTCTGATGAATTGGATCTTGTTTATATAGTGGCACTTGCTGCTATGATTGTATCACTGTCCAAGTACGAATTGAGGTTTCTTAGCCACTGGCGTATTTCGTATAGAAAAATCGATAAAATTTGTGTGTGTGTGTAATATATATATATAAAAGATGACGTTGAAAATTTTTTACCGTTAACAATTTTTTTTTTTTTTTTTTTTTTTTTTAAATTCAGACGACATCCATTCAACTGACGTCAGGTTTCAGTGTAAAATACATCCTCACCCCTTACCAAAATGTAGCTAATAACTGATACAATGATACTGTCATAAGGAAAATCTAGACACCCCGTGTTCAATTTGAGTAGAATATTCTGTAACCATGGAAACGTGATTTTTAGCTGTGTATTTAAAACCCGGTAAATTTTAAAAGTTACTCCAAAATTCGCTTGAAGATGAAATAGAACTAATGCTTTTAATTTATTTGCAAAAAAATAAAATTAGGGTTTTAGCTTCTATTTTTGAAACATGGTTGAACTGTGTAGCGAAAATAACCATATTTTAAATCAATTAATTTATAATATATATATATATATATATATATATATATATATATATATATATATATATATATATAATATATGTATATATATATATAATATATATATATATCTATATATATAATATATATAATAGATACATATTATGTACACATAATATACATATATAATATACATATATAATATATACATATATATATAATATACATACATATAAAATATACATATATATAATATATATATATTACGATATATATATATATATATATATATATATATATATATATATATATATATATATATATATATATATATATGTCTAATATATATATATCCAAATATATTAACACTAATATAATACTTACTGTATATCTAATTTTTGTACCCTGTATATATATATATATATATATATATATATATATATATATATTCTGTTCTGTATTTAGGCCGCAACCCTTCATTTATACATGTTCCATTAATGACAACAGGTACTGCGATTAAGCTTTTATTGATTGTTTCTTATGTTCGGACGCAGAGTGTGTTCAGGACATTTACAGAAAAGAAAACACTTGTTCGAACACTAAAAAATTAAATAAAAAGCTTAATCGCAGTATCTTTTCTGCCGTCATTAATGAAACGTATATATATATATATATATATATATATATATATATATAAGAAGAAGAAGAAACAAATAATATACCTTTATAAATTTAAGAGGTTTCGATTTTATTTAACCTTCATCACAAAATTAAATGAGGGAGAACAAATTTTTTGCCATTTTATTTTTTTTTAGCTTGCTTTTCATTGGTTAAATAAGCCTCATGTCTATTTGTCTTCTTTGCTAGCGTCCTTGTGTATAATTTTTGTGTGATGGAATGCAGTCGGAATAATAGTGTCATTTCGATGTCCACGATCCTTTTGTTGGTTGCTTATTATGTGCTTGGATAGGGCTAGGATTTGAATCAAGAGTTATTTCTACTCTTAAACTGGTTGACAGCCACGTATGTTAGTCACTTTTTGCCCTTCTTTACCTTCAGTAAGTCTTATAAATGTTAAGTTCTCCAGGCCTTCTTTTTACGTTACGCGTTCAAGAAATTTCAACTGTCTCTTTCTGATAGTAACTATAATTTCTTTGGCGTTCCTGTTTTCTTTAAGACTTTCACCTTCTTCACATGATTCATTCATGATTATCTCTACAATCCTCAGCAGTACCACATTTTTATCGCTTCAAGTGTTTTTTTGTTGTTGTTTTTTATCTGTGAGCGGATTTTCAGCATTCCCTGCCATCTAGAAGCTTAGATATTACGTAGCTGTTCAAGACACTTTTTCCTTGATTTGATAGTCATTTTTCTATCTCTTAATACTTTGCTTTGTTTCTTGAAAGCATCTTAGGCTATTCCTATTCACCTTCTGAATTCTGTGTCACATTTTCCGTTACCTGTTTGTACATGACCGAGATACAGTGAGCACCCGCCTATTCGCGGCTTCATCCATTCGCAGATTTTTCTTTAGAACATATGCACTTGTTATTCACGGAAACCTTGAATATTCCCTTGTTTTTCTAAAATATATAGAAATTATTCATTGAAAACTCCCTCGATTCGCGTATTTTTTCGATAGAACATATTTAAAGTATTATTTTCCTGTTATTTAATTGACTTAAAACATATAACAGTCCATTTTCACGGTAAAAATTGGTACAATTGTGCATCTTCATTGTAAAAACAAACGCAAAAACATGCGTAGTGCTTGGGCATTGTTCTTTGTTAGGAGCTGTGGCTGGGATCTTAAAAGTGACATGCTAAACCTGGAGCATTATCACAGTTCTGTTTTTAGAAAATGCTTTAAATTTCATTTTTATGTCTTGTTACACACATTTTATACAGTATTTTCAATGGCTGTATCGATCTAAGCGTATTAAAAACGGTTATTGTACGTATGGTCACCAATTCTAAATGTTTTTAAAAAGGTCTGAAATGTTTCTAAAGTGTTCAGGATGGAAGTTTAAGGCATATGGGGTTTTAACAATCAAAATAGGTACTTATAAGCACTTTTAGGGGGGTTTCAAGTATTCGCGGATTCTAACTATCCGCGGCCGGATCTGGTACCTAACCCTCGCGAATATGAAGGACTCTTCTTTTCTTTTTCTATGCCATGTCCTTTCAGGACGTAGGCGATCATGGCTCTCCACCTCTTCCTCTATCCCTTGCAGCTCTCAACAAGTTTCTTCGCTCTGCTATTTCCCCCAGACCACGTTCTGCCATCCACCTTCTCAAGCCCGCCAAGAATGTCCCGCGCTGCTTTCCCTTGTCTCTCTTTCCCTCTGTTCGACCTGTGAATATCAGATTCTCCAGGCCCTCTTTCCTCATTATGTGTCCCAGAAACTTCAGCTGTCTCTTCAATATGTTAAGTATAAGCCTCCTCCTTGTCTGTATCTCCTCCATGACCTCATCGTTGCTCCCACGCTCGGTTCACGAAATCCTCAGCATCCTTCTGTAGAACCACATCTCCGTCGCCTCGAGTCTCTTCTTCATCCTTGAGAAAATTGTCCAGCATTTGCTGCCGTACAGGAGAATAGATGTCACGTAACAGCTCAGTGTCCTTTTCATTGTTACCAAAGAAATCCTTCTGTCTCGCAATATTCTGCCCAACTTTTGGAATGTGTCCTTGGCCATCCCAATATGTTTACGGACCTCGGTGTCGCACTTACCGTCCTCTGTCAAGACGCTCCCCAGATATTTAAACTTCCGCGTTTGCTTGGTTCTAGTCTTCTCGACCTGCAAATCGCATTTCGGTCTCATCCTCTTACAGTTAAATACCTCTGTTTGATTTCGACATCCCCAATACATACTGATAATTAGGGCAGTCCCTTTTGCTGATAACCATTTATTCTCTCTTTCATATAGTTCTTTCTTCTTGCTCTGGAGCATTTAAAATGAGTCATTAATGCCAAAAAGAGACTTGTTTTTATTCATTCTGCATTGAAGAGAATGTAAACCGTGCATTCAAAAGAAGAAATGAGAACCTGATAAAAATCAAATGAGAATGCGAATATGGTTTGCTTTGGTTTGTTTTGTTTTACGGTATATCAACCTCAATGGGTTATTTAATGCCGACAAGATTTTTATTGCTGGTAATATTTTTTTTCAAATATGTATTGCTGGTAAAAAAATTTTCCAAATGAGTATTGCTAGTGTTAAAACTTAT